TCTCTCTCTCTCTCTCTCTCTCTCTTGTATGCCTTTCCCGTCTCATTAGTGCGAACCAACTAGGTCACTCATTACCCCACAAACATGAACAAACACAAGATGTAAACGATCCCAACAACCTGAGATTGGCATAATTATATTAATAAGTATGCCAAGAACTAGTCCTAGAGGAAAAAAACAGTAACAATCATGCTCCTAGCAAAAATACTCATCGTTTTATCGAAATTTGACGTTAGTTCAAATGGAGTGTTGATTTAGGATAGAAAGTACAAGTATATTACCTTAGTGGAACAAAGTAACCTCACGCTGCTTTACGTCAAACGATCGCAAGAGATGAAAACTTTCAACATTATCGTCGCAATGATTGCGCAAAATCAGCAAGACAAAAATTCAGTGCGATCTAAGGGGAACATTTGACACGCAACGAAAGTCTAGTTGTGTCGTTGTGAAGGTCGGCCTCGGTCACCGCGCACACGCCGAGATAACGATTCTGATTTCATTCTTATAATAGTCGCGAGGCGATTATTTTAAAAAGAAGAAGAAAAAGAGGAAAGAAAGAGAGACCAAGTTTGAAAAAGTAGATCTAAACTTCAGTCGAGACAACGTAAAGTGGCTTAGTGAAAAGTCTACGGCAGACAGTGAAGCAACGTAGCGAGCGACAGACAGAAGGTGTGAACTGCCAAAGGCTAGGCTAGAAGTAGTACGATATGGATTTCACGTGGAGTACTTCGCTTCACTTGAATTTGATATGCATTTTCACCGTTTGCTGTGGTTTTGGTGAGTATTCAGGCGTACTGAAGTTAGCAATAATTTCTCAGTGCTTGTCAAAAATGCGCCAGCGAGTACATATTATTATATTATTACTGCCTTCTATGATATTCTGGATTAGACGGGCTTAATAAAAACACCTTCCAAATGACTATTGCGTTAAGATCGAAATCCTGGAGAGTACATGTAGTGGGACTTGTTTCGTTTTTGGGTTTTTTCTGTTCTAATAAATCCATACATAGGATGTGGTGTTTAGCTCTTTTTCCTAAAATTGAAGCCAACTTTGGCAAGATGTTTGTTTTTTGTTAACTAAACTAATGAAACTAATTACAAAGTATTAGACTTCCTTGTTATCGATTAAAACACTGTTGTGTTCCGACAAAAGCAATGGCTTGATTTCCGTTTTGTTTTTTACGATCTGCGCCGCAACTTTGATCCTATTTCTAGGGTCTAATTTTATTCTTGAATTTGATAGATCGTGTGATTAGTTTAAAAGAATTTTTTCTGATCTGTGTGTTTGAGATTTGTCAGATATAGTAGAATAAATGTAAGATTTAGCAACAAAGATTTATTTACTCACGTACCACTTATTATAGCACTGGGCAATCTAATGAATCATAAATATCTCTTACCTTACATTTAAACTTTTTAAGCGAATTTTTCGCTTTTTTTCGTGCAACATTTCTGTGTAACACATGCTTGAGAAAGTTTATTGACATTCTTTAGCTTTGAGTGTGGTCTCAATCAACTTCTATCATTCGAAGAGAGAATTTATGGGCTATTTAAGTGATCAATGTAAAGAGTTCTGAGGGTTGACTAGGAAAATAACAGGCATTTCACTCAGGGGCGAACAATAAAAGCTCTAACCTTTGTCAGTCTGTTCTGTGTTGATAGGTGTATGCCAATCCGTTTTGTAATTAGATTAGGAAACAAACAAAACCTGTGTGTATGCCAAGGATTAAACAAAAATGTGTTATGTTTTCACCAGTTGTGTGCTATGTTTTCACCAGTTGTGTGTTATGTTTTCACCAGTTGTGTGCTATGTTTTCACCAGTTGTGTGTTATGTTTTCACCATTTGTGATCTGCCAAAAGAAAAAAAAGAAAACCAGGCAGCCACAGGGGAAACGTATCGCATTCCCTCGTTGATAACATGTTTATCTTGTATGTCAGTCGGTTACATAACTCTTACTTAACGGTGATAAAGTTGAACCTCTATGCTCTATACTTTGAGGACGAAGCGGTCTGTGCGATACGATGTTGTCCTTGGCCAAAGGGCAATGTTACTAAATTTATAATGAATCAACGCTTTGTCGACCGGTAAAGATAAACGATTGAAGCGCGTGTATTTTTAATGTATCTAGATCGTTAACTGTTTCGTTAAAATCTTTCAAAGGGGCCATTTTCTGCGCAGTTTTGGTTCTCTCTGGTGCGCGTGATTAAATCTTTTGGTTTCTAGAAATCTAACCAGTCTTTTTTTTCTATGGGTTCGTGAAAATTGGCATATTGAGTGTTGGAATACACCCTCCACCCCACGCCCACTTCCGCCATCTTTTAAAATGTTCAAACCTCCAGATTTGGCAGACTGAAAATGCCTCCAGCATAATATTATTATTAGTCTGAAGCATCGTAATTCATTATCAGCTACTCACAATACTCGAGGTAAAAGTTATGGAGTACGCAAAGAGCAGAAATGTAACATAGCAAAGTAGTGATAATTTATTTGCTGCATGTAACCTCTGAAACTTTAATGCAATGTGCCTCATGTGCAGCCTTCCGATTCTTTAAAAAAAATAGCTAATTATGAGAACTACGGTCTTGCTTTACATTCTGAAATCGAAAATACTGCTGTTATACGATTCAACTTCAACTAGTCATTTCATCTTACAAAACTTTGTTATAAAATCATGCGTCTGCAAAATGTTACCAGACAAAAACGCCCTTGCTATATGTCTGATTTCAAAACGCCCACAAGTTACAGTGGTGGTAGCGAAATCTTGTTGATAGGACTTGGCGAGATGACCCCTATCTTTGGTCAAGGTAAAGACATGTAATGGTCTGGTGGGTGCACAGGGGTCCACGGAGAGAAGGTCATCCACGTACCAGACTGGGGATAGAGACAGGGGGGGG